AGTGTAAAGTGTAAAGTGGCACCTAAGTTCCTTCATTAATTCATGTAAGATGCAAAAAGTAATAATTCGCATTGGAGGATTAAAGTTAATATGGAATGAAAGAATACATGCACATTCCCAGCACAGTGACACGTATGTGCTAAGTGCTTTAATAAGTACTAGCTACTGGTATTAATATTATTAAGTGTTGTTTCAACACAGCCACGATTGAATATAAACACAGGGTAAATTTCTTACTAGACTGTTGGCAACAAAAATTTACTGAGGTGGGGCTGGATAAATAGGAAGAGGTTCTCAGGATTGCTGAAGCAACCTGGACAATGGAAATTTTAATTCTTTTCACTTATCTACTGTAAATGAGCTTCCTAAAGTTCAGAAAGAAGTATCTAGTTCACATTAAATTTCCAGCTGAGAAACAAAGTGTTCTACTATCTATTCTATAAAACCAGAATGGGACATTTATAATTTTCCTGAAAAACCTTCCTATCAATTTCACGTTCAGAATTAACAATCCAGCTGAGAAACAACCGCAATTCATGAGCCTGCTCCCTGCAGATGTGTGAATTTGATGCATGTCAGGTATGCTCAGGAACCTGTGCAATTCATCAACAGCTCCTACAAGAAGAGGGGAAGGGGATGGGAAATGATGATGCCCTACTCTTCAGGAGTTCAAAAGCACAACAATGATGTCCAGGTGGTCTTACTGATAAGAGTGAGTGGTCACCACTTTTTGTCTGATTAATGACATGATATAAAGAAGCCAATTTATCACCCATATGGTTCTCCCTTTTACCTCTCAATTCCAAAGACATTCTGATTGCTGATTTTCCTGTCAACTCAGCTTTGCATTGATGCATTTATAAATTCATTCTCAACAGTTATGAAGTTGTTATTGATGGCATAGGTGTTTGTTAGTGTTGGGTACACAAAGGAGAGGATGGTATGTTCTCTGCCCTAAAGACGCATATCCGAGTCAAACAGAGGAGCTGATTTCTGCATTATTGCTGTGAAAGTGAAATGATATGGTGGTCAAAATGCAACGAGCGCTGGGTCTGCTCTGGGTAACTCATGTTTCTATGTCTCCTGCCTTCTCTAAGTTTTTTACCTTTCTCTGTGCTTAACTTTTAAAAAGTATAAGTTGCAACCTCCTTCATTCTCCTGTTCTCACTGCACTGCCCACATAGTCACCCCTCTCATCAAGGTCTTTGTGATTCCTTAGATTTTGTAGTTGACTTTGTCTGTTGAATATAATTCTATGGAAGTGCACCACTTTAGTGGAATCTTTTTGGACTTTGTCAGTCAACTTATTGTCTCTCTTCTCTGAGTCCTCCTTTACTAAGGCATGGATGTGAGTGGTACCCACATCTGATTTCTCTCCACTACCCATGTCTGATTTCTCTCCAGTCCCCACATCTGATTTCTCTCTAGTACCCATGTCTGATTTCTCTCCAGTACCCACGTCTGATTTCTCTCCATTACCCACGTCTGATTTCTCTCCAGTACCCACGTCTGATTTCTCTCCATTACCCACGTCTGATTTCTCTCCAGTCCCCATGTCTGATTTCTCTCCACTACCCATGTCTGATTTCTCTCCAGTCCCCACGTCTGATTTCTCTCCAGTCCCCATGTCTGATTTCTCTCCAATACCCATGTCTGATTTCTCTCCAGTCCCCACGTCTGATTTCTCTCCTTACCACTAGTGCCTGACACAGAGTACAAACATGCTCTCTCTGACTCTCCAGATCCTGTCTCCTGCAACAGCCACATGTCCTTTTCTCTACAAATGTGACAAACCAAACAGCTGAATAAATCTAAGGATCTGTAAAAACACATCAACCAGGAAAACTGAACATAACAGAAAATTAAAATGCATAGAATGGGTAAGAAAATATGGAAATAGAAGAATCCCCATTTAGTAGTTGAGGGCTCTAGGTCTACTTGGAACAGGTCAACTCCCATCTCCAAGGACGACTTTGTGACCTGGGGCAAGTTGCATCAGCTTCTATTTCTTAATTTGAAAATAAAGATAATAGAATTTTCTAGGGTACAAGGTTGTTAAGAGGACTGACTATAATAATGCAAACAAAGCACTTGGCCCAATGTCCGATCACTAACACGTATTCAATAAATGAATAATACTATAATTATCATCATTAGTACGAAAAGGTAACCACATACTTATGTCTAACAGAAGGCCACAGAAACGCAACTGGAAAAATATCAGAATTTAGAATTTCTGCCCTTATCATGCAGATTAATCCTTCATATCACAATCATGTTCCCAGAGTAAGAGAGTTACAATTTTTCTTTAGTTTTTCCAGAAAATCATCTTTCGATACGAAATAAACTTTAAAAGAAGACACTGTCTTGTTTTACAAATTCTTGTCTCCCAAGCAGCACACCCTCACAATTCTTTTCCAACACACAGGTACACTTCAGTAAGTACATCTGTACTAATAAACATGAGGTAACTACTTCATTTATGTGCAAGTCTGATTGTGCCTTAGAGGGTGAAAGGGTACTCAGAGCTTTCGCTCATCAGAGGACCGTGACCCAGTTCAGGCAGCTCAGAAGCAATTTATACAACCCAGCATCTGCCACATTCAGACAATTGTTTGGCATTCATAATTTTTTTTCCATATTAAAGAAACCTTGTGTCTCAGCTATTTTTACATTGTTTATCCCCACTCCTTGAAGAAAGGAGCTTTAGGATCAGCAGCTGATATTGGAAGATAATTCACTAAAACTTAGTCTTAGCAGGGGCTAAGCCCCTTGTAAGCATGCTACCTTAAGCTCTCAGATGTCTATGAGATAGGAGGTTTAACTGCGTTTCAGTAGAACTGGAGAAAGAGGAAAGAAAACAGCACTCTATTTCCCTCCAATAAAAAGAAATAGCTATTTTGTTCAGAAACAGTTATTTTTTGAAACGGGCACTACAGACCTGAGTCCATAAAGGACTGTGCCATCTGGATGCAGGCGGATCATGCGGTTCTTAACAGTCACTCCGTGCACAAACGACTTCTTATCATTCAAGAAGTAGGTGTCAGGCACCCAGAGCTGGTCTGCCACTCTGTTGTCCAGAGTCAAGTTTAAAGGTATTACATTGTAGGACAGCCTCTTATCTCTCCAGGCTTGCTGAAAGTACATTGTCAAGGTATAATCCTGCGGATATAAAGAAAAAGAAATGATTACTTTGTACCCAAACAGACTTGAAGGAT